GTAGTACGCGGAGCAATCTGTGGAGCTGGAAGCTGAGAAGTGGCGACTTTGTAGTACAGTGAAGACCTTCACCAGCAGCAGACATGGACGCACACACAGACAGGGACTCATATACACACACCACACAGAGAGACCCACGCACTGCCTCGACTTACTCGGACACGCGCACACACACACACATACAGAGACTCATATACACACGGACATAGATACACACACAGAGACCCACACACTACCTCAACTCACTCGACTTAAACACTTCACGCTGAACGCGTAACAGATAACTCACACTCTGACTTCCTACGTGATGAAAAATGCTTTCGGGCCACTCGTCGTCTAGTGAAAATTCTCTGTGTCTGTTCGAGACCTCTTTCATGCAGGTCCTTTGCGCGACATGCGCGGGGACACCTTGTAGCCGCCTCACGCAGGACTGCAAGCAAGTGTTGCCATGCACTTGTTTCAGACCCACGCCCAGGTCTGATTTTTCCCTTCAGAAACGCGCGGAGCTCCAAGGCCAGGGTGGTGGAAGGGGGGTCAAAGGACAAGCTACGCCCCTTCACCCCCGTAGTTTATAATTTGCGAAAAACTACTCCGCCTGATCTGTAGTGTAAATACCAATGTTTTCCACATGTTCTACTCCACACTTGCCCTACTCCATAGTTACTCCGCAATGTTTTCTAGGGGGAAACACACCAACTGCATCCTGGGGAAACTACTCCGCCCGTAGCGTAGTGAGTGCTGGTGCTTAGACACCGCGGAAGCGTTTGACGGTTCGAGAAATGGCAGCATCCCTCATTCAGTTGGCCAAGCGAGCTCTTGTTTCAGTACTGCTGGCGTTAGCTCAGCAGTATGGGGTCCGCTTGCAGATCTCCCGCGAAAGCGCTGATGGTCATGTCGAATCTGCCTTTCGGTCTTTGGTGAAGAAGGTGCACCCAGACAAGGGAGGCAATGTTGGTGAAATGCAGCGCCTGCAGAAGGCCATGGAAGAGTGGAGATCGGCTAAAGCGAAGAGTGCTCGGGTTGGAGGACGGCCAGCGAGGACAGCCGTGGCGCTGCTTGGTGATGGGGAGAAGAAGAAACGCTCCTGCAAGATTCTCTCTTCTGCAGTGTTGCTGACCTATCACGGTGTTGAGGTAGATGTTTGGCAAGCTTTTGTTTGCTTTGTGAAAGACCATTTGCTTGAGTGGGGTGTCGTAAAGTGGTGTGCCTCGATGGAGCGATGTGAATCGGGCAAGCCCCACACGCACCTCATGGTTCAATTCTTTGCCGCCCGACAGGATCGTGAAGTGGATGCTTTTTCTTTCCACGGCGCTAGACCAAACGCCAGCTCCACGGATGTGTGTGGGGAAGGTCTCTGTCGGAAGCAACTGCAGCGATCCATCGACCGCGGTATGTTTTATGTCTTCGCAGACAAAATTGGAACTGTGTTTGACGATGATGGGCTGCCTTTCACAACAGGCAATTACTTGCCATGCTGGGTTTCCTGCGAGAAGACATACCAGGTACTTGGGAAATGGCCAGAAACCTTGTGGAAACAGCGGAAGATTTCTTCGGTGACCTATGAAAGGCTCTTGTTTTTATCCCGAGATGGAGTGGTTTCGAGGAAGCGAAACTTAGAGGCCTGCCTAGAGCACGAGGAAGCTCATGCGTTGAGATTGGAGGTGGACCAAAGATCGGCTAGGATCCGCTCCAATCCCCAGTTGTACCGCCCTTTTGCAAAAGTTCCTCAAGCAGAGGAATGGCTGCAAATGTTTGAGGTCGATGCCTTGCGGTATCCGATCATGGTCGTTCTCGGGCCGTCCCGCGCTGGAAAAACAGAGTGGGCAAAAAGCCTTTTCCAGAATCCCCTTGAACTCAAAATAGGGACTTTGGAGTTCTTCCCGGACGCCATGCGCAGCTTTAAGCGCGGTGTGCATGACGGTCTAGTATTAGATGATGTCAGGGATTTACAATTTCTGGTGAACCACCAGGAGAAGCTCCAAGGCAAATATGATTGCTTGGTTGAGTTCGGCTCAACTGCAGGTGGCGCGTGCGCGTACCACCGTGACCTATTTGGTGTGCCTGTTGTGGCCACAGTGAACTTTTCAACCAAGCGGTTGGAGTATTTGGAGTCGCACGATTGGCTAGCCAATCCTGGTAACAGGGTCTTGGTGAACTTGTGAACGCCAGCCTTTCCAATTTGTAATTCGATTTGCTGAAAAGATAGCTACTGCTGTTTTGCGATGCCTGGCCGCAAAAGAGGGCTTGGCTGTCTGTGAGGAGAGATTCCAGCGGACAAGGTAAGTTTCAATGCTGGTGGGCACCATGGGGGGAGTGTGATCTAGACACTGCGCCCTCAGCATCAAGTTAATTGGGGGATGGGCTGTGATTGCTAGACCCTGCGCCCTTCCCACACTTGTTTCGGCGTCGCTCGTTTTGCCTGTTCCCGCCCTCCTTCAGGCAGCGCAAGCAATGGCTTCAGGCCGGTCGACCTGGTGCTTGGTACCTTCACCAGCATGATTCTGACAATGTCTTTGGTAAGGAAGTTTTCAGTCTGGTTTGCAGCTGACAGGCTGGGAGACAGACGTTGTAAGTGCCACGAGGCTTGGAACTTCGAAAGTGATTTTGAAAGGAGCGTGTTTGGATTGCAAATGTCTTGCGCTTCAGGAATGTGATGTATAGTCTAGCCTAGCCGTCAGTCGCAGCTACAAGCCATTTGCTCCAGCTGCAGTGTTGTCCCAGAGTGAAAGAGACACAGACCCAGTGCCATGCCTCCAAAGCGGAATGCCCAGCAGGATGTCAGGGAGCCCAAGGAAACAATGTGACCTGGGCAAAGCCAGTTTCGGGGTTGAAAGTGGCTAGGGAAAATGGACCTAGAAGGTAGGGCCTCCCCAGTATGAGTGACCAGCACCAGCTCCTCCTGAAGCATATCCAGCTCACGACGAAATGCTGGAGGCAGAAGATGAAGCAAGGAGCACGCTGCCCCCACAGAACGGGGAATCTCCAAGCAGCAGTCCCGCGTCGCACTCCTCTGAATCCCCTATCAAACGAAGACCGGGGTCTAAGACTAGTGCAGGGAGAGCTCAGTCCAAGAAGTTACGAAAATCACTTGCTCCAGCATCCAGGCAACTGCTCGGTAGCATCCCCGAGCACGAGCAACCGCCGGCCACGCTGGCAGACCTGGCCAGTCGGAATGCTCAAAGGCAGGAGGCTCCAGTTTGCAGGAATCCGGAGACACCACCTGACCATCCTGGAGCGACGCAAGAGAGCTCACACACCATCACAGAAATTGACCTTGCCAGTGATCAAGAGCAAGCAGAGCGCGGAGGCACTGCTGCCACTGATCTCCAACTGGAATCTGAGCAGAGAGCCATGCAGGCCCTATACGACTATCAACATGCGGCTCGAACGGCCAGAGAAGCTGACGGACAAAGTGTGCCGCTCCCCTCATTGACAGACCTACAGTGACCTGCCTCGGGAATGGCCGATGGCGAGACTTGCAATTTCCAACAAGCAAATTAACCGCCTCGTCCGTACATTTCTCTGGAGGCGGGTAACAGAGCAAGCACTCCATGGCTCCTCCTTTGTGGACATTCCTGATGAAATCAACCAAGCCTACATCGGGGATCTTCTCCATCAGCGAAGCCTTTGCTGCTCCCCTGTCCAACCTCTTCGCATTCGTGAAGGGTGGACACCCAGCATGCCCATTCATCACGCACAAACAGCTCGCCCTTCCCCGTTTCTGGCAGTGTGGCCTGCTAGCCTTCATCGCAAGGTGCTGCTCCTTTGACAATCAACACAGACACCAGGGTACAGAAACAGCCCAAGCAGTGAAGGCGAAACCACAGCAAACAAAGGAAAAAGATGTCGATGCCCTTACCTTTATGCAAACTGTCATCATGTCCTTTGTTAGGGGTATGGAGCATGGCGAGCAGACGCTACCCACCAATGACCTCTTTGTCTATCTCCCAGTACAGATCCTGCCTGACCTGGTTGTAGCCATGGAGCGGCAGGGCTTCACGCCCGCAGAGGTGAAAGGGGGCTGCGGCTACCGACCCAAAGAAGAAGGAGCTGAAGACAACCCTCTGCTCGTGGTGGAAGTGCGCACAAAAGAAATTGCCTACGACCGATACCCCCGAATGCCGGATACTTCCTGGGCCGAAAGAGCTACTCTAGTGGTGCCCTTGACCCGTCTTTGGGACAAGCCTTCTCGTTTCCTTCCCTTCTGCAGCTGAGGCTGCGCATCGAAGTTCCCCTTGTGGAGGGACCTGGCGACTGCCAGACACCCCGCTGCAGACTTGCCTGCAGAAGAAGACTCTGCCTCTGATGCAACCGGGTCAGCTGAGCGATCGCCCAGACTTGCGCTCCCGGTGCCAGTGGGGCTTGCTGAACCACCAGAAGCTGACACTGAGGAAGCTACTGAGGATGAGGACATGGCAGCAGAACCCAACGCTTTTGCCAAGGGATACGGACGCTTCGGCATTGGCTACTCTAGGCTAGCAACGGCGCTTGGCAATTTTGAGCAAGGGAACATCCATGCAGAAGGTACAGTTGTCGCTCAATGGCTGACCTCCGGGCTACGAATTGCCATGTCCCGCACAGGGTGGAATCTGCTGTCTCCCCGCTTTATGTTGACCAAAGTTCCTAGTGATATCCTCAGTACCTACTACTGCCATGGATGTCCTCTTACTCCTAAAATGGAAGATCGCCCATATTACCAATATGGCCCACTCCTCTACTCGGAAGGCCGATGGGATCAGCTCTGCGCTTGGCTCACTGGAAATTCCAAGTTTCGAAGTCAGCTCGCAGGCCACAAGCAGGCGCTTAGGGATCACATGGGCTACAGTCAGGAAGCCGCTGACCCAAGTAACAAAGCTCGCCGTACTGCCCCTCCTCCAGGAGCGGCAAGCTCCTCGTCTGCAGCAGGGTCTTCCTTGCACAGCAGGCCTCCCCCACCACCCGCGCCTTATGGGTGGTGGCAGTAGGGCGGTCTCCAGTGAGAGTTTCCCCGCGCAGTGACCGTTTCCCAGTAACTGGACCTCCCCCATGAAATGGGTGGCCTTAGCCACCCTAATTCGTGTGGCCTAGCTGTCATCATGATTTTCGCACCGACGACATATCCGTTACCTCTGGTTTTGTTTGGTTTCGGCTCAAGCAACTCGAGCATAAACGCGCGGACTGCCGCCTACGCGACAATGCCGCCTAACCAACACCGTCATGAGGTCAGTCTTGACTTGGTCACGACAGCAGGCACGGAGTATACTATGCAAGCAAATCTCACCCAGTACGAGGATGTGGCAGAGCTGGAAGATGACATTCTCTGCTTTCTGCCGACAGTTTCTGATTTGGATGTCTTCAGCTGTGAATTAGATTTGCTCGACCTTCACACGCAGCAACCCTTGCCAGAAGCATTTCGCACAGCGCTCCTGCAACGGCCGCAACTGCAAATTGTAGTTCGTCCCTGCATGGTTGAAGGACACTCCATCTGGCAGTTCCAAGAGGACGGAAGGGAAAGCTACCCCAAAGCTGTACGTGTCCCGGCTAACCCACGTGGAGAAATTGCTGACAGAGCCTTCTATGCTGCGCCCGTGCTCCGGCATGTAGAAGTGGCAATGGGCATCCAACATGTAGGCCTGGCAGAGTTGCCAGCTACTGCAAATTGTACAGTCGAAGAGTGTTTGCGGAGTGCTGCTCCCTAGGGCGAGTTGGTGTCAGTCACGACTGAGGACAGCAACACCCTAGCTGGTGCAGTTAGGCAAATATGCATTTGAGAGTTGCCTCACGCTTACAACCATCACCTTTGACATGGACCACACCAATTTTACCCCGAGCGCTGCCTGAAGGTGCATTTTGTGGAGCAGGCATTGAACAGCTCTGTTTGCCAAGTGACTTTCACAATATCGGGCCGAGGGCCTGTGAAAACTGCAAACGACTCATGGAGGTCAACCTCCTGGGCACGGAAATCACAGCCCCACTCTCCTCTCCACCTTTGCCCCCGAGAGCGTAGTCAGTACCAAGGAGCAGTCCATGACCGGCTCCATTTCAGGGGGAGTACTAAGCCTGGATGAGTCGTCGAGCTCCATGAATAGCTGACTGTTTGCTTTTACTGTTTGAGCCAAAAGCTTCTGACTCTGCTCATGGACTGTTCCTAGGGCCAGGGATGTTTCCTAAAGACAGATGCTAAGGCACCCACCTTGAACCTCTCATGGACTAACTTGATGTTAGAAGTACTCTTGGCATAACTCTTCATCAAAGGCGTCCGAATCGGGCCCATCAGCGGAGAGGAGCTCCACCCACCGGGGTTTTTCAAATTTGTCACACATGAAGAAAGCATTGTGCTCTGCCTCTGCACCCACTGTTCAATGTCTCCCCAATCCAGGGGGGTAAATCGTTGCAGTTGCTCACACCCGCAGAAAGCACGGTTGCCTATGTCACTGAGCTCTGTCGGGATGACTGCTTCTTGGAGCATGACGCAATTAAGAAAAGCTTCCTTGCCAATTTGTGTGAGTCTTGGTGGTGGCCATATGCAATGTAAGGCTACACAGTGGGTGACTATCAAGGTCTCCCTCAGTGTGGCAAAGTTTGATCGATTTGAGGACCTGGCATGCCGCAAACGCGGATTCCCCGCAAAGGCCCCTTCCGGGACGATTTCCTCTGGGTTCATGGACATGAACGGCCAGCGGAACCTGATGGACAGGGCAACCATCGAGTTGTTCCTGTGATGACAAGGTGACACAGCTATCCTTAAAGACAATGGTGTGTGCCATGCCTTGCTGTAGCCTGTCCCAGATTGGGTCCTCAAGGTATGTCTGTGGCAGTCAGGCATCAGGCTCATTGGAGCAGAGGCCTGGCAAAATTGCCAACAACTTCGCATTGTCAAACTGCCAGCCACAGTGGTAGGCATCTCCTATAACGCCTTTCCTGACTGCAAGCAACTAAACAGTGTCTCGGCTTCTGGTTGCTGAGACTTTGGATACAGGGCTTTCGCGGAATGCTGTTCCTTACAATGGGTGTATGCATCTAAAGGGGTTGCAAATAGATTCAATAACGAAGCTAAGTTCGGGCAATGCCTCTTTTAAGGGTGCATCAACCTTGCTGCGGTTACTTTGTGTGAGATTCCATCCCTCCGAGGGTCAACACTGCAAGCTAGGCTGTCTTAGCTCTACGGGAATCACTGCACTCG